CTATGCATTGAAACTGCGAACATTTCGAGCCTTTGCACGTGGCCCGTCTCCTAAATTTTTCGAATCAAAATGTTTCTGAATTTTTTGTGAAAATTTTGCACAGCAACCGAAAGTGACAGTTTGTTCCGACTAATATGTTTTTTTTCCAGTTGTTATTTTGAGATTCGCAGACATTTCTTGTATGCAATTTCGGATTTCGATTGAAAAACAAGTCGATTTTGATTTCGAGCAGTTTTGGATTTCGATTTCGAAGTCGAACAAGCTCCCCCTGGTCGAGGTCCGCGACTCATGTTGCGACCGAAATGGGTCGCCGAAATGGACTATCTGCGACCGAAATTCCAGCATCCCACAAGAGGCTTGAGTCACACAAAGTCGCAACATACCTAATTTGGTTCGCGCAAAGTCGCAAGATACCTAATTTGGGTCGCGCAAATCCGCAACATACCTAATTTGGGTCGCGCAAAGTCGCAACATACCTGGTTTGGGTCGCGCAAAATGGCAACATATCGAATTTGGGTCGCGCAAATTCGCAACATACCTCTTTTGGGTCGCGCAAAGTCGCAACATAGCTAATTTGGGTCGCAAAAGGTCCCAACATAGCAAAGTCGCACTATTCGTCGCGCAAAGTCGCAATATGGGTCAAGAAAGCTCGCAGCATGGGTCGCGCAAAGTCTCAACATGAGTCGCACAAAGCTTAAGTATAGGAATTGTTGTCGGATTTTTGTCGGAATACCTAATTTGGGTCGCGCAAAGTCGAAAGATACCTAATTTGGGTCACGCAAAGTCGCAAAATACCTAATTTGGGTGGCACAAAGTCGCAACTTACCTACTTTGGGTCGCGCAAAAACGCAACATAGTTAATTTGGGTCGCACAAAGTCGCAACATAGCTAATTTGGGTCGCACAAAGTCGAAACATAGCTAATTTGGGTCGCACAAAGTCGCAACATAGCTAATTTGGGTCGCACAAAATCACAACATAGCTAATTTGGGTCGCACAAAGTCGCAACTTACCTACTTTGGGTCGCGCAAAAACGCAACATAGTTAATTTGGGTCGCACAAAGTCGCAACATAGCTAATTTGGGTCGCACAAAGTCGAAACATAGCTAATTTGGGTCGCACAAAGTCGCAACATAGCTAATTTGGGTCGCACAAAATCACAACATAGCTAATTTGGGTCGCACAAAGTCGCAACATAGCTAATTTGGGTCGCACAAAGTCACAACTTAGCTAATTTTGGTCTTGCAAAGTTGCAACATAGCTAATTTGGTTCGCTAAAAGTCTCATAATACCCATTTTGAGCCGCAATGGCAGCAACATAAGTCTCCGGTCATAGATGCGCGCATGTGAATGCAGTTTCTGGAAAGCTTTTCCGCACAATTTTTAGTATTTTTTTTTGCTCTGGGGTTTCAAATATTTCATCGCATTGGAGCCCTACTACTTTTTATTTGTATGCAAAAAATCAAAAATTTTCGCGGCGAGAAAAAAAAACAACAGTTTGGATTTTTAGACTTATTTTTTCTGACGAAGAGTTGTTGATGAAATCGATGCGTTTATTCTGATGAAGAGTTGTTAATGAAACCAATGAAATACATTCAGAATATTTTAAATAAAAGCAAGAAAAAACGATAATTAGTTTCAGAATTAAATCCGAAAAGAACCAAGGCTCAAAATCCGAAAACCAAAATATATAAAAATTGCGTTTTTCTTCTGTTTTTTTTTCTATTTTTTTTTCAAAAACGACGTTGTTTTACAAAGAATCTGTGCTATTTGCGCAAAAACCGACTTTTCTTGTTATTATAATAATTTGACAACTAGTTGGCTTACCTCCTACAGGATACCGCAGAGTGCGTTCACAGTCCTGATCTGTCGCGTAAGCCACATCTCCCGTCAGCCGGTTCTTGGTCAGGATCGAACCAGTCACCGGAACGTCATTAAGAACTTCCTGAAATCAGTCGAAGCTTTATTTAGAGAAAAAGTGGGAAAAGTTGATTTTACATTCATGGGCAAGCGGTGTATAACTTTCGCAAAAAAACTAACGACATTGGAAAAGGGTCAATACAAATCAAGTGAAGAGTTGTAGAGTTTAAAAAAATGTGTATTTTAGCTTCAAGAACTAATTTTAATTAAAAAGATCATGACTAAAATAAGCCAAGTTAGCCCAGAAAATTCCACAGTCATCAGTCTTCTAATAAAATAATATATAGTCAAGCAGCAGCAAAGTTATTTCACTCCAGAATAAATTATAGTCATAGCAACTTCAAAATTGTTGTGTTTTGGTTATTTTTTCTGTTAATTCAATTCAAAGTTGTAATTCAAAATAAAATCAAGTTTTACATTTTTGAGTTTCTGTTTTAAACTCATTTCAATTCTTCTTCAAACGGCAAGAACATAGCCGGAGAAAAGTGTAGCAATCTAACGGAGATGGTCCCGGGATGACCAAAAATACTAGTCATACAATTTCGATATATGGAAAAATGCTAGTCATACAGTTTCCATACAATTCAATACGTACAGAAAATTGCATGAAAGGTCTATGATTAGTATTTTTTTCATATATGGAAATTGTATGACTAGCATTTTTCCATAAACCAAAAATATTTATTTTTTACGTTTTAATTTCTCAAAACTTTTTGTTTGTGTTCGTAACCGAACACAAATGACATAAACCTTGATTACTCAAACGTAGTAACCAATGGTTTGGCCGTCTCGCATTAAAAATGCATTGGAAACAGCCTGATTTGTGTTACTTCTGTCTCAGACAAATAATATAACGAAAGTAATGAACTTTTAAATTTTGGCAATAATTTTCAAAGATGATTATTTCTGAAATTTGAATTTTTAATTTACCAGACATTTATCAAGGCATACAAAAAACATGTCATACAAAAAAAAGAGGAGTTTTAAGCGTTTTTGAAAAAAGTTATGAAGAGAAAAGGAAAAAAAATCCAATATTAGTATATCCAGGACTACGTTATACACACAAAAAATTAAATTTTGCATGCAAAAATTTTTTTTCCAAAAAACGTTTGTTTGAATACGAAAATCAATTTGCGGTTGGAAAAAAAACACAAAAAATTTTTGGGGGCACAAAAAATTTTTGTCGTCGCCATCAAAAAAATGCTAGTCATTCAATTTCCATATATGGAAATTGTATGACTAGTGTTTTTTTTCAGAAAACAAAAATAAAAAAAAGTCAAAGTTTTCAGTCGTAGCAGCCCACAAAACGCTTAAATGTTTTGCCAGCAGTTGAATTGATTGTTCAAAGCTTTTTTTTCACAAAAAAAAATTTAAAAAAAAATTCTAATCATACAATTTCCATATATGGAATATGTATGGTAAGCATTTTTTTCATACCATTTTTTTTCCTTTTTTTAATGAAGAGATATCAATTTCGATACCAAAACAACTATAAAATACCTTTGAAACTCGATTAAACTCATTTTGCAAAAATGTATGAAATTTGTATGACTAGCATTTTTCCATAGACTAAGTGTATGAAATTGTATGATTAGCATTTTCGGTCTATGGAGGTCAACCCGGGGTGTTTATTAGCACCCTAGTGGTGCAAATAATTGAAGCTAAAAGTAACCATGCTACCGAAACACAGCTAGCAGCTGATGATTAAGAAACAGTAGTAAAAAAAAAGAAATGAAGCAAACACTCAAAAACTCAGAAGAAATGAACTCAGAGTAAAGGCTTTGAGAGTTTTGCGTGCTTTCTAGTCAGAATATCAGAAGCAGTTTTCTGCCACAACGTTATTCAGTTGCAAACATTGTCTAGGTCAGAAAAACTGGAGCTTTTAAGTTCCTCATAAAAGGCCTTGAAATTAATTTGGTTGATGTAAAAAGTTTTTTTGAAAACAGCCCAATCCCCATCAAAAGTTTCCGGCATATGCCAGTTCCTTCGAATTTTTGAATACTGAACTCTGATTGGCTGACAAAATTTTCGCGCATTTGGTCCTTGCTTAAATAACGCTCCCAGCTAATACAGTTTGCGCGACGTGGAAGTGCAAAATATACAACATATTCCTACCGAGAACTGAGCTAAACTCTAAAAAGCAGCAACATATAAAGACAAGACTGCTCGTATCAGGGCGAATCCCTGAAGGTTCCGACTGCTTTTTAAGGTTTATGGAGCAGTAATAACATTAAAACATTCAATGAATTAAAACAAAATGAAAATTTTTTTTCTAAAATTTGAAATTTTTTATGAAAATCATCCCCCCACACGCCGTATAAAATACAAAAGGATAGATTTCGCTCCTTGTAACAAACCAATTAATGCAAATAAGCTTCTTGTAACCAATTTGGAGCAATTTCTAAGACGGATTAACTCTCCGCTTACGCGTTAATAGCGCGAAATATATCGCGCGTTAATTGTCCCAAAGTGGTCAAAATGGACAAAATGGCAAACTTTAAACCCCCGTAACTTTACAAAAAATGATCAGAGGTAAAATATCTTTTCAAATTTGAGCTCAGGACAACAATACCTTTCGATTGATATATATAAAAAAATTCCGTTAAAAATGGCTAGTTGAAAAGTCGAAATTTGTCTGAAGAAAAAAAAACCACCCCGAGCACAAATATTCCGTCACTTTCGTATCGAAAGTCGGAACAATAAGAATCCTTTAAGCAAATTGAAAATCAAGTTGTCAAGATTTAAAAAGGAATTGCGATTGTTGAGAGCGAATCAGTAGAAATAATTTACTAGGTTTAAACTACTTTGGTAAGTTTTTTTTGGAAGCATAAATTTTGAATGTTTAAAAAATAAATGAAATGCAGCCATATTCAACAATTATTCTGTTAGCTTGAATATCGGCCCTGATTGAAATTTAGAAAAAAATGATTTCGAAGGAAACGAGACAGCTGATGTCGAAGGCGAAGCTCCATTTTTTCTGAATGCCTCTCAGAAGCTATTTTTGATTGAATTTTTTTGTCATTCGTAAGGTATTGTTGTCCTGAGTATAAATTTGAAAAAGTGTTTCACATGTGATCATTTTTTGTAAAGTGATGGGGGTTTAAAGATTGTCTTTTTGACCAATTTGGGACAACTAACGCGCGATATATTTCGCGCTATTAACGCGTAAGCAGAAATTTAATCCGTCTTAGAAATCGTTCCAAGTTGGTTGAAAGAAAATTATTTGCCAGGTTTGTTTTGTTACTATTTGTGCAATTTCTCACTTTGATTTTTTGATGGCGTGTGGGGGTTGATTTTCTCAAAAAATCTCCATCAAAAATCATTTTTTTTACATTTAATTTTATCATGTTATTATTGCTCCATAGACCTTAAAAGGCAATCAGAACATTCGGGTCTTCGCTCTAAAACGAGCAGTCTTGTCTAACTTAAAGATCTCATAAAAAAGGGTGAATTTGGACTATTCATCTTCAATTGACCTAATTTTAGTTTTTAATGAAATATTCTATAACTAGCAGTGGCGGATTTAGAGGGGGGTGGTGGGGACAGGCGCTGAGTCCGTCAGGGATTCGTTAGCTTGAATATCGGCCCTGATTGAAATTTAGAAAAATATGATTTCGAAGGAAACGAGACAACTGATGTCGAAGGCGAAGCTCCAATTTTTCTGAATGCCTCTCAGAAGCTATTTTTTATTGAATTTTTTTGTCATTCGTAAGGTATTGTTGTCCTGAGTATAAATTTGAAAAAGTGTTTCACATGTGATCATTTTTGTAAATTTATGGGGGTTTAAAGATTGTCTTTTTGACCAATTTGGGCAACTAACGCGCGATATATTTCGCGCTAATAACGCGTAAGCAGAAATTTAATCCGTCTTAGAAATCGTTCCAAGTTGGTTGAACGAAAATTATTTGCCAGGTTTGTTTTGTTACTATTTGTGCAATTTCTCACTTTGATTTTTTATGGCGTGTGGGGGTTGATTTTCTCAAAAAATCTCAATCAAAAATCATTTTTTTTACATTTAATTTTATCATGTTATTATTGCTCCATAGACCTTAAAAGGCAATCAGAACATTCAGGTCTTTGCTCTAATACGAGCAGTCTTGTCTAACTTAAAGATCTCATAAAAAAGGGTGAATTTGGACTATTCATCTTCAATTGACCTAATTTTAGTTTTTAATGAAATATTCTATAACTAGCAGTGGCGGATTTAGAGGGGGGTGGTGGGGACAGGCGCTGAGTCCGTCAGGGATTCGTTAGCTTGAATATCGGCCCTGATTGAAATTTAGAAAAATATGATTTCGAAGGAAACGAGACAACTGATGTCGAAGGCGAAGCTCCAATTTTTCTGAATGCCTCTCAGAAGCTATTTTTTATTGAATTTTTTTGTCATTCGTAAGGTATTGTTGTCCTGAGTATAAATTTGAAAAAGTGTTTCACATGTGATCATTTTTGTAAATTTATGGGGGTTTAAAGATTGTCTTTTTGACCAATTTGGGCAACTAACGCGCGATATATTTCGCGCTAATAACGCGTAAGCAGAAATTTAATCCGTCTTAGAAATCGTTCCAAGTTGGTTGAACGAAAATTATTTGCCAGGTTTGTTTTGTTACTATTTGTGCAATTTCTCACTTTGATTTTTTATGGCGTGTGGGGGTTGATTTTCTCAAAAAATCTCAATCAAAAATCATTTTTTTTACATTTAATTTTATCATGTTATTATTGCTCCATAGACCTTAAAAGGCAATCAGAACATTCGGGTCTTCGCTCTAAAACGAGCAGTCTTGTCTAACTTAAAGATCTCATAAAAAAGGGTGAGCTTGGACTATTCATCTTCAATGGACCTAATTTTAGTTTTTAATGAAATATTCTATAACTAGCAGGGGCGGATTTAGAGGGGGGTGGTGGGGGCAGGCGCTTAGTCTGTCAGGGATTCGACCCCCTGCCGACCCAAAATGTCCCCCCTTCGTACTTTTTTGAGATATCCATATTTGGTGACGGACCCTAAAATTTTTCTACTGGCGCCAATACATACTATTTTTGAGGGGGAGCGGGCACCAAAAAAAACGCGATTTTTCAGTCAAATCTTTCCAAAAAGTGCCTAAAACGCTTTTTTGGCCTGTTTTTTTTCAAATTTAAAAAAAGGTCGACAAAATTTTCGAAAAATTTTTGAAAATCCCCCCTCGATAAAAATCTTAGATCCGCCCCTGATAACTAGGGACAATGAATGGAAAGAAGAGTCACGCAAAGCAGGGAAAGATTAGTGTTGGCAAGAATAAAGAGCAAAGATTTTACCAGGTACAGCTGAAATAAAAAGAAAAACCGTCACCTTTGTTGTTAAGAAAAGTATAATTTAATAACATAAGAATCTGCTTAACAAATTAATCGGAACGCGGCAGCGCGTAAACCAAAGCACTTGTCTTATCAATTAAAATCCGTCATGGTTTTTACTGATAGATTCCTATTTCGGATAATCTTCTGATGTTTATCGATGTTTGAGTAAAATAAGTAAAAAGATGAAAATTTCGTTGTTTTCGATACGAAATGAACACATAAACTTGTTGAAAAATGTTTTTGCAACTAACCTGCGATCGGCTGCATACTTCCAGCACCAGGTCTGTAGTGGCAAGATCGACCACTTGGCCTCCACAGAAGGGCTGAAATTAAACTTGAATTCAATAGTTTCTGACAAGTTTTCAAAAAGAGTGGCATCAGTTAAAAAAGCCTAAAATGCTTCGAGTCGAGACCCACGACAACTGATGCACAGCCATTTGATTTCATTTAAGTCTAACTTGGAGAGTTTTGGATCAAATTTTAAAAAGGGATAGCGGGACAGCCTTTATTTGGTGCAATGGGGGGAGGGAGGGTGTGATCGGTTGATTCAAAGAATTTTCACTTTTTTGGCATTTTTTTGCTAAGCTTTTCGCTTGGGAATTTTAGAGCTGCACAATTATAAATAAAAAATTGATTTGTAATCGAGATATGTCACTTCAACCGTGTTCGCTCTACTGTCACTGCATGGTCTCGTTTATACGTGAAATGAACGTTAATAGAAAAAACATCTGTAAAAGTTCCCAGCTGTAGTATTTGCGGAAAAATTAGAATAACAAACTGGTCTCTCGCGTGTCCGGATAAAATTTTTGGGCTCTTTTTTGTCCCTACCCCGCCTGCACTGTTCCCCCCAGCCATTTCACACATCATTTTACGCATCTTTTTAACTATATCCCCCTTCAGGTAGTTAGAAACAAATATCCCACCTAAATAAATCAACGGTTATGCATGAGAGAATTTTATACTTAGTAACGAATCTAATCTCCCCCACCCCCCTTTGCAAAAGGGGATATAAAAAGAGATCCCATCTTTGTACTAAGGGTATCCTTGTTTCTGGTTTAAGGGAAAGAAAGCTGAATTGTTTATCTCTCACCAAAAATAGAAGGCTGACAGCGAGAATCATTTGTCCATAGAAAGAGTGACCCCATCCTCCTTTCCGGACTATGGATGTATGGCCTCCCCATAAGACCACTCCACCTCCTCTCAACATGACTTCACTTTTAGATCGTTCTGTACTAAAAAAAATTAAACCCTAGTTAAACCATTATTTAATCACCCAGGGGCGGATCTAGGATTTTTTTGAGGGGGGGGGGCGGATTTTCAAAAAATTTTTCGAAAATTTTGACGACCTTTTTTTTGTTTAGGTCGACCAAATAGATTTTCCGAGCTCTTGTAAAGCACTAAAAGGTCGCTGTTTTGCCAAATTTTGTGCGCCGCAGGCAAATTTTTGAAAAAACAGGTCAAAAAAGCCGTTTTTAGGCACTTTTTGAAAAATTTTGACAAAAAAATCGCGTTTTTTTTTGGCGCGCTCTCACCCTCAAAGTTAGTATATATTGGCGCCCAAGGCGCCTTTAGAAAAATTTTAGGGTCGGTCGGCATAAAATGGATTTCTTAAAAACTATCAAAGGGGGGACCCTTTGGGTCGGCAGGGGGTCGAATCCCTGAGGGGGGGGGAGGCGTCCGCAACCCCCCGCCCCCCCTAAATCCGCCCCTGTAATCACCTCTACTTAAGATTTTGTGGGTTAAAACATACACTTGATAAAGTTTTTCATTTTAAAGGGACGATTAATAAAATTTTGGGGTTAAAATTTTTGAAGCTCGCAAGCGATGATGAGAAATTTAAATCTATTGTAGCTTTATACAAAAGTTGTTCCTTTTTGACATTGCATTGGGCAATAGCTCCAGTGACATCTTTTCCTTGGAATGTTTTGGCATTTTTGAGAAATTTTATTGAAAATGTTAACCTTGAAGAAGTTCCTTGGTGATAATCTAAACTGATACACGTAATGAATATTTTGAATTATTAATAAGCTGAGTCGCAAAATTGTATTTTTACGATTTTTTTTGCAATTCAAGTCAGATTAATCAACAAACCACAACAATACAAGCATTACTATGAGTACACTGATGGTAAAAACACATGTAATGATCTGATAGTTGGTTTTGGCACTGAAGGCGTTCCAAAAGAAAAAGCTTACTTCAATTTTTCATTCAATTTTCTACAATGTATATATGAATATATTTGAAGCTTTGCTCAGTTTTAAATCTATTAAACCTTTGTCAATTTTAGTTTTTTTTGTCATATTAACTTATTGAAAATAGTCGAACAGTAAACGCAAATATAGACTGTGGTGATTTATTGGCCAAATCAAACTACTTTTTCTCTGTGGTTTTTTTGATATCATGTTGTCATGGTCAATAATAAATAAATAAATAAATGAGGTCTACTTTATTTTTGAACATCTCTGCTGATTAATTAGATTTTCAAGTATCGTTGAAATCATGGGCTTGGCTTTTCAATCAAATTTTAGTGGTAACTGCAATCTATCTGCCTTAGCATGTGTATCGGCTAGCGTGTCTACTTATCAAATGAAAATTATTTTGTTCACCAGTCATTTTTTGACGCTCTAACTTACAAAATATAAATTTTGTTTCCAGATAGGGGAATATAAAATAGAGGAAAGTGAAACTTCGCTCTCTCGCTTTTTAATTAAGTGCGTTTGAAAATTATTTGGGGAAATTATTAAGCGAGCATTACTCGGAATTAGTTTATTGAACACTGTATTCTTGTTCACGAAGACTAATTGATGAGCATTTTCCCCAAATTTTCATAGCCCAACATCAACAGTGAGAAAATCTGGCTGAAACAATACAATTGAAGGTAAAAATGTAAAACAAATTGCTGGGCAAGAAACAGACATGGAAGCCAAAAAAACTGCTTGCTTCAGGGCAAAGCTTGTTCTGCCAGCATTTTAAGGTCTAAGGAGTAGTGTTCGCTTTAAAGAAAAGCAAATATTCCGTCATTTTCTCCGAAAGTTGGAACAACCAGAGAAACTGTATCAAGGCAATGCCTTGAAGGTTTCTACTTACTTTTGGGGTCTATTGAGTAGTGTTTGCTTTACAAAAAAAAACAGATGACCTTTTCCAAAAACAATCAAACTTTTTTTAAAATTATTGCTCAAACGCTTTGTAAAATACAAAATGATTTGTTTCGCATGCAATAAAAAATTAAATTTACAAAAAAGCATGGCTCAATTTGGATCGATGTTTGTTACGGATTGAATCTCTGCTTACGCGTAAATAGTTTGAAATAAATCGACCGTTGATTGTCCCAAAGTAGCGAAAATGGCAATCTCTAAACCTCCAAAATGTTATGAAAAGTTATCACTGCTGAATTTAACGATAATTTGTCAAAATTGCTAGTTAAAAAGTCGAATTTTTTCTGGAGAAAAAAACCACCCGGAGAGCAACTGTCCCCGTCACTTTCTTTAAAAGTCGAAACAACAAAACTGCTGGTATATCAAAGAAAAGCCCTGAGTGTTCCAACTACCCCTCAACCGGGATCAAATATATTTTACATAAGATCATGAACCATAAACAAGACTGCTCGTATCAGGGCGAAGCCCTGAATGTTCCGACTGCCCATTAAGGTTTATGGAGCAGTAATATCATTATAAAATTAAAAGTAATTAAACAAAATGAAATTTTTTTTTCAAAAATTTGAATTTATTTTATAAAAATCATCACCCCACACGCCATAAAAAGTACAAAAGGATAGGTTTCGCTACTTATAACAAATCAATTATGGCAAATAAGCTTCGTTAAACGAATTTGGAACGATTTCTAAGACGGATTAACTCTCCGCTTACGCTTTAATAGCGCGAAATTTATCGCGCGTGAATTGTCCCAAATTGGCCAAAATGGCAATCTTTAAACCCCCATAACTTAACAAAATAACAAAAAATGATCACAGGTGAAATATCTTTTCAAATTTGAGCTGAGAACAACAATACCTTTCGAATGATATAAAAAAATTCGTCAAAAATGGCTAGTTAAAAAGTCGAAATTTGTCTGAAGAAAAAAAACCCACCCCGAGCACAAATATTCCGTTACTTTTGTATCGAAAGTCGGAACAATTATCAAATTTCAAGCGTAGAAAATTGAATCGTACTAAGTTATTGCGTTTAATTTGCTTGCCTGAGTTCAATTTGGAACATTTTTGTAGTGCGGGATGATTCACCACGCATAAACAATCTTCGTTACAATTTCAGTCTCATCAAAAAAGCTTCAAAACGCACATAAATAAGGCAATTTTCAAATTCTGAGGTAAAAACATTTCTTTACATAAGAACTCAGGAGGTCGACATTTTCAATGAAAAATTGTGTGAACAACTCATTTCGATTGCCAAAAATTGACGGAATAAAAAAGTAATTCAAACATAATTATGAATTTTGAAAACGCTTAACTTGAAAGCCTTAAATCCATTGAGCATTGAGAAAATTTATGGAATTTTTTTGATACTAGCACTACTGGCTTCAAAGAAATCAGCGAATCAGCCTTTAACGAAATCAAAAATTAGGTCAAAAGTTTACACTGACAAAAAAAAACTGAAATTTGACACACTTACCCAGAATTTTGATGTATTTGGCAGAATTTTTTGGCAATACATTGACAATTTTTATCAAAGTTACTCGTAACATCGATAATTTTTAATAAAATTAATCGGCAATATTGAATTTTCGCTTGTAAGTTAATTTGCAATTTAAAAATGGACTCTGAATTACAGCAAAAAAAAATATTAAATTTTATGGAGGATAAACAGGAGGAACAATTGGATGATGAAAGACCTCTGAGAGAATAGACGACTGAGAGACATCTGCTATAATTCTGTGTACAATAATGGTAATAAAGGTAGCAGAAAGAAATATAATTTTTGGTTAATATCTGAACACAAGCAAGTTGTATTCGC